TAAAATAATACCGAGACTATTCTTTTTAAATTAGGGGTATTACATTCTTCTCCCCTAATAAAAGGAATTCCGTCCTCGGAATTCGCCCTTACCTTCTTCCACTATATCTGGAAACTGTGAGCGAATAACATCCTCTTGTTCCCAAGAAGACTCAGCCTCATTATGGTGATTCCACTGGACATGTACTAACGATATGACTTTATTGCGAAGAACATGATCCTTTCGGTCAATAATGCGACATGGTGGCTCCACATATGTTGCATCCGGCTGCAACTCAATCTCTCCCACATCGATATGCTGATACCGATCTTCATCTCGCAGAAATTTTCGCAACATGGAAACATGAAACACATTGTGCACTCGATCAAAATGATCTGGAAGTGCCAACCGATAAGCTACAGCTCCAACGCGATCGGTAATCATAAATGGACCCACAAACCGTGGTGATAACTTCCCTTTCTTTCCAAAGCGCATTACACCTTTCATAGGAGACACTTTGAGTAGAACCTAATCCCCAACCTGAAACTCCAAAGCACAAGTACGACGATCCGCATAACTCTTCTGCCTACTCTGGGCAGTGCGCATGCGATCCCTAATAAGAGCAATCTTCTCAGAAGTATCCTTAATGAACTCAGGATCCAAAAATCGGCTCTCGCCAACCTCCATCCAACAAACAGGAGATCTACATGGTCGTCCATATAATGCCTCAAACGGTGCCATACCAATAGTCTTTTGAAAACTATTGTTATATGCGAACTCCACAATTGGCAAATACTCTTTCCAATGGCCCTTAAAGTCAAGGACACAAGAACGAAGCATATCCTCCATTATCTAATTAACCCTCTCGGTCTGTCCATCAGTCTGAGGATGATAAGCAGTGCTAAGATGCAACTTTGTACCCAAAGTCTATTGAAAACTCTTCCAAAACCCTGATACAAAGCTCGAATCCCTATCCGATATAATAGATAACGGAATGCCATGCAACTTCACAATCTATGTAATGTAAAGTCTCGCTAACTGTTCCGAAGTGTAATAAGTGCGAATAGGTAAGAAATGAGCTGATTTGGTCAACCTATCAACGATGACCAAATGGAATTGTGATTCTTGAACAAATTAGGTAATCCCTCCACAAAATCCATAGAAATGCTCTCCCATTTCCACTCCGGTATTGGCAGTGATTGTAGAGCTCCTGGCGGCCTCCGATGATCAATCTTGACCATCTGACAAGTACTACATCGTGAGATAAATAGAGCAATGTCCCTCTTCATACCTGCCCACCAAAACTGCCGCTTCATATCCTGATACATTTTGTCACCTCCTGGATGAACCGAAAACTCAGAGTGGTGAGTCTCAGTCAGCACATCCTTCCTCAACTCATCAGCAGAAGGTACCACTAACCGTCCCTTATACCTTAAACCTCCATCAGCCCCAACATAGTATAATGGAACCTCTCCGGAAGCTATCTCTGCAACTTTATCAATGCACTGCTGATCCATGAGTTGTGCCTTCAAAACTTTGTGAATGATAGAAGGTGTAACTACCATGCAAGCCAGGAAAGCATCCGACAATTCATCCACCCTCTTCAACGCATTCCACTCAGTACTGAATAGAGCGGAAAGACTACCAACAGGTCGACGACTGAGTGCATCTGCCACCACATTCGCTTTCCCTGGATGTTACTGTATAGAAAAATGATAGTCTTTCACAAACTCCAACCACCTGTGCTGTCTCATATTCAGCTTCCGCTAAATGAACAAATACTGCAGACTCTTGTGATCGCTGAATAATCTGAAGAACTCACCCAACAGATAATGTCTCCAAATACGTAAGGCAAAAACCACAGCTGCCAACTCCAAATCATGTGTTGGATAATTAAGCTCGTGAGGTTTAAGCTTCCGAGATCCATACGAAATCGGTAGCTCCTCCTGCATCAAAACACATCCAAGACCCTGCAACGAAGCATCTGTGTACATAAGATACTCTATCCCGCTCTATGGGGTAGACAAAACTGGTGCAGAAGTCAACTTAGTCTTCAACTCATCAAAAGCTTTCTGACAATGTTCATCCCACATGAACTGTACACCCTTTTTAGTTAAATGAGTGAGTGGTCCCGCTATTTTTGAAAACCCCTGGATGAACCTCCTATAATATCCTGCTAAACCGAGAAAACTCCGAATCTCGGTAGGTGATGTAGGCTGTCCCCACTCAACCACCGCTGAAACCTTGGTTGGATCCACCGCTATTCCCCTTTCTGACACCACGTGGCCCAGAAATTTCACTTCCCGCTGCCAAAATTCACATTTCTCAAACTTGGCATACAACTGGTGCTCACGAAGCGTCTGTAAGACTATTCGAAGATGTTTAGCATGATCGTCCTCTGACCTCGAGTAAATCAAAATGTCATCTATGAAGACAATGACAAATTGATCCAAGTAAGCCCTGAAGACTCTGTTCATTAAATCCATGAAAACCGCCGGTGCATTAGTCAACCCGAACGGTATCACCCGAAACTCATAAGATCCATATCTAGTGAGAAATGCTGTCCTCGAAACATCCTGCTCCCGAACCCGAAGTTGATGATATCCAGACCGCAGATCAATTTTAGAGAAATAAGTAGCTCCCTTCAACTGATCAAACAAGTCATCAATCCTGGGCAAAGGATACTTGTTACGAATAGTAATCTTGTTCAACTCCCTGTAATCTATACACAAGCGGAGCGAACCATCCTTCTTCTTCACAAATAAAACCGGTGCTCCCCAGAGTGAAGTACTCCTGCGAATGAAACCCTGGCTGAGTAGCTACTGAATCTGATCCCTCAGCTCGCGCATCTCCACTGGTGCCATCCTATACGGTGCCCTAGCAATAGGCGTAGTGCCTGGAGCTAAGTCTATCACAAAGTCGATCTCGCGACTAGGCGGCAACCCTGGAATCTCCTGAAATACATCCGGGTAATCCTGTACAATTGGTATGTTATCCAATAATACAGTAGTCCCCTCCTCCGCTTCCTCCTTCACATGAAACAAATAGGCGCTAGTGACCCCCCTAGAATGCGGCATAGCGATGACGTACACGTCCTGACCATGTATGGTGAAAACTACGGACCTATCATAACAATCAACTTGGGCATGGTAATGCGATAACCAATCCATCCCAAGTATCACATCATAAGTGTGCATGTCCAGGACCAAAAGATTGGCTAGAAATCTGAGTCTACCAATATCTAGTGTCACAGGCCCATCACTCTCATGAAGAATGGTTGTATTGCCTAACGGTGTAGAAATTCCATGTGGTCTACTGCATACCCGAGTCATCATCCCAGACAAAGCAACAAATGACCTAGCTACAAATGAGTGTGTAGCACCCATATCAAATAAAACACGTCCAAGTAAACCATGAATAGGAAACTTACCCTCAACAGCCTGTGGTGTCCGAACATCCTGTGGCATGGGGTTGTACACCCTGCCATAGTGCAACTGCTGCGGTGCCTGTCCCTGAGGCTGCGGTGGCGCTCGTAGAGCCGGATATGTCTGTCCCTGAATCCGTGGAACCTGTGGAGCTGGTAAAGGCACTGGTGCCCTCTGCCCCTACTGCACATGTTGTCCCTGTCTCTGTCCATGTCTTACTGTAGGACACTGCCTGGAAGTGTGACCATACTCTCCACAAGTATAACAATTACCCTGGAAAGTACCAAATGGCCTCCTCTGTCGGTTAGCCTATGGCTGACCCTGTCCTCCCTGTGGTCCCCCATTCTGCTGTCGCTGAACAGGTGCCACATCCCTGGGAGCATCTGAACCACCCTTGTGCTTCTTCCAAGGCTGCTGTCCTTGGAACTTGCCCTTGTCATTCTGTCAGTGTCCGTTCCCATTCCCTTTATCAGCTGACTGATTAGCAGAGTCTCTGTCACCCCGCTTCTCACCCTTAGCCTGTCTGAAATCCACGGTCAACTGATACTGCTGCAGAGCGGCGTCTACCACCTGAGCATAGGTAGTATAGGCTGGATTACCCGTAATAGCTCTCTTGATAGACCACACCAGTCCCTTGACGAAACTGTTGCGCTTCTTCTCCTCTGTATCCACCTCTTCCGGTGCAAAGAGAGACAAGCGTGTGAACTGCTGCTCATACTCCGCTACTGTCATGTTCCCCTGCTGCAGATTAAGAAACTCAGTCTTCATGGCTGCCTTGATTGCATAAGGGAAATACTTTTCATCAAAGCATGCACTGAACTGATCGTAAGTCAATGCCATCCTCTCCGCTGCGGTGGTAACTGACTCCCACCATTGTAGTGCATCCCCAACTAGCTTGAAGGTAGCAAACATCTGCTTCTGAACCTCCGTGCACTGAACCAAGCGAAGATGTCGCTCGATGTCCTGTTTCCACTGATGAACTGCTCTCGCATCGGTGGAGCCTGTGAACTCAGGTGGGCTCCCCTTTGTGAAAGAACTCCTACCCTTCTCCCAAGTATCAATCCGAACAACCGGTGCCGGTAACGGTGCCGGCTGTACTTGAGGCTGATTCCGAAGTGCAGCGGTTACCCCTGTTTCTATAGCCCGAGCAATAAGGTCATTGATGTGAGGAAGAAACTCTGGGTCTCCTCCCTGATCCCGAGTCTGCTGAACTTCCTCATAGAACTGACCCTCATCCTCCTGACGCTGCCTACGAGCCGCCTCCCTTCGTTGCCTATTTCTCTGATTGTCCCGTCTTCTTCTAGCATTAACCATTCTGTTAACATAGAAAGACAGACATTAGTACGATTTAACCGAACCGTAAAGAACACAACGAATCCTAATCTTAGGCTCTAAATAAAAGAATACACTACGCGGAAGTCTTAAAACAATAGATCCCTAGAGACACTTGAACCTGGAGTGCTTTGATACCAACTGTGATACCCCTCAATTCTAGAGCCACGGGTGATCAAGTCCGAGCACAGAATACAAGGGATATCAAACAATTAATATTTAAACAAGCATTTGAATACAAAAAGAATAATAAATAATTAATATTTAAACAAGCATTTGGGTCCAGTCCATCTGCAATTACATGACAGCCTATCAAGCTAAAAAGTGAAGTGAGATCAAGAATGAGAAAACAAATATACTAGGCATATTTCCACAGTAATTAGCACTTGATGTCATTTTTTATTCTTCATTCAGTCCACACTAGAGGAATTTGTTCTAAGTTCTTCCATTCAGTCATGACTATCAGGGGAATGCATATATTCTCTCCCACTATATTTGTCATGGCTATGTTCCAGTGCAGATCTAACAATTAGTTTGCCAACAACTGATACTGCAAGACATGATCGGAAATAATCTCCCAAAAGACTAAATATCAGGATATCTCCATTAACACAACACTATTACAGCATGTCTTAAACAGAATGATATCAATAACCATTGACATAACAGTAAAGGGTGCACTAACAGCATAAACTTGAAACATTTAAGGTATGTTCACTTCCTGCAGCAATCTCAACTACAGTGGGGATCTAAAAGGCTGTTTGCAAGTGTCAATTTGTTTTATAAAAAAAGAGAACTAAAACAATACGTGAGACAGTGAAGGCATACCTTCACAATATAAAGAAACAAGAAATGAGTACGTTTATATGTTTATTCTATTACAATTCTGAAAGATAACTGACACCAAAATTAGTGACCCTAAAGAGAGTAAAACCTTGACACCGAGGTATATTACCTCAAGTATCACAGTCAAAGAGTAAGACCATAAACATAATATTGGACAAAAAGTATTCCAGTAATGGATCTAAATAACAGTTTGGCAACTGACAGGCGATGAAATGTAAAAATTACCTTCCAAACAGAAAATAGATGCAGTTTAATGATTGAATTTGCTAGCATCAATTGAAACCAAAAGCCAACAATTTCAGCTTATAAACTTCATCAGAAACATGAGGAAGATATTTCAGGCACATAAACCAGGGGCAGCAATTATGTCAGAATAATTAATAAGTGTTTGGATTACTATGAATATCAGTCGAGTATATTATAAAAATCATCAAGTATACACAAGAAAAGTCAATTATCTAATTCTTGAAATCAAGGTGCCATTATAGAAATGAAACAAGTTAACAATTTAACATTCAGCTTCAATGCTAAACTTCAACGCAATTTGAAAACCAAAACAATATCCCAAAAAGAATAAACACTTACAGTCTGCAAGTCCAGTACATGAAGATCATTGAAAAAGATTGAATGAGAACAACCGCCAAAAATTAAAAGGTAGCGTTCTGCATGCACAGCAGCTATGTGATCAAATCTGGGAACTGGAGGTGTCTGCCTATAAAAGCACAACAAAGTGAGCAGAACTCTTCTGGAAGCACATTAGCAGCAATTCAGGGCAAAAATAAATAAATAAAAAAATTAAAAATAAAAAAAATAAAAAAAGCACATAAGCAGCTGTCTGTAAAAGTAAAATCAACACTTACACCGTCTCCAACGCACACCAAATCATTGTCTCCAGATCAAGAACATGGACATCATTCAGCAGTCGCCTCTGACTGTCTTCTCCACCAAACATTATTATTTTAGAGCCGACCAGTGTTACAGACTGGCCACCGCGAGCCACCTGCTTACTCAATAAGCAAACCAAGCAAAATTAATCATAAAATTTAAATTAATCTCACACATACATATAGCAAAGGAGAAAGGTTGACACGCCTGTTCCTCCACTAATTAAACAGCTGACAACTAGGAAAATTTACTTAAATAAAAAAGGCACAATAAAATGAAATGGAAATCACTTCGCTCAAAAACAGAAATCTAGATTTACAGTAACTGGAGTCAGTCAGTTACCGGAACTTTTCCAGAGGTCTCCATAACACCGCAGTGGTATGATTCCAAATCAATGAATCGCACTACAAGTTAGCTAACAAGGCATAAGATTCAAAAGAAGTTCAAGTGGTTTCTGAACAGTATGAAAATGGCTTTCGAGGAACAAACCTTTCAAGCTGTCAAAATTATCCTTTGAATGACCACCAAGAAGAAGAAGTTTGTTTTTCCACTTAATCTACCAGCATAAACAACCACATATGCAAATTAGTTGTGTGATGAGTGTAAAGCAATAAGAACCACTTTGGACAAATGAGAGTAGAGTAAAATTTTAACACAAGACATTTATGAATCAACACCTTACCATTCTGTGGCCTGAAGAGGCTGGAAGAACTTCCAGGGAACTACCATCAGTAGTTTTATCAGCTTTTGGTTCCATGTTCAGTTTTAGAGTAGACCATGCCAAATTTCTAAGATCAAAAACCTGAAAAGTAGCCAATTATGACAAGACCCAAGAAAGAAGGATTTTGACATGCAGAAGTGAATAATCATGTCCGATACCTGAACATCAGATAGGTACCTACCAGGGTACACAACTACGCTATATCTAGCTACACATCCCTGGCGATATACGCACCCTAACCACTGATCCTGAGATTCAAGCTCATATCATGGTGTATAATTATATATTTAAAATCCGTCCTATCCAACCATCAAAAATAAACTATCCAATTATTATTTTAATAATATGTCATCCAACTATTCCGTTGACCTGACACGAATAAGTAGGACTTAACACTATGGTTAATCCGTTCCCTTATTAAAAATAGGTTGGACTTAACTTTTAAGTTAATCCGTCCCTAATATGCCCCCATCCCATAATGGTGCATTAATCCACATCATAACCAAAGAGAAGTTTCCAATTCAAAGATAATGTAAATAATATTTACATATAAACATTATATTAATCATATATATATTCTTTGCATTTACTTGAGCAAAAATATCAATTCTAAGTATCATGCATTTAATTTTTCATTACACGAAATTAAAATGCATCTCAACTAAATTGTACATCTCCATATTTTGATTAAATTAATTTAAATCTAAGCAATAGATTAAAATAATTTAATCCAGCAATATCTAATTAATTTATTCTTTCAAAATTAATTAAATTCCATCCTTAGCATGTAAACTTATATCATGCATACCAATTTAAATTAAATAAATATTTAATTCAAATCCATTAATCAAAACTAACAAATATTAATTTAATATTCTAACATTAAATAGATTACTATTAAAAATATTTAATGCAAAAACTATTTAATTAAAACAAAATAAATTAATCATAATACCAATCATTATACTAATCATTATATCCATAATAGTACCAATCATTATCTCATGGCATTATATAACCATCTGTTTTTTTTTTTTTTTTAAAGGAATTGTCAAGACTTTCTCGATCAGCGTGCCCAATTCATGAAAGAACAAATTCCAGTTTACGAATTGCTACAAACCCAGTTTCATGCCACTTTTTAGCTTGCCTCGTTCGGCATGCATAGCTTGTTAAAAATACTAATTTTGACTTTACTTACATGCATATAACTGATGCTTGGAAAAATAAAATAAAATTAAAACCAAATTTAATTCATGCTAACAAAAGTCATGTAAAAAAATATATATATAAAATAAATTAAATTAAACCCAAGGCCACCAACAGTGTAGGCAAAAGAAAACAAATAATTAAAACCTATGAACTCAAATTTCAACATATCTATGTAATTAGATCCAATTAATTTATTTAAAGAACCTAGAATTAATCTAGCATGCATAAGGTATGAATCAAAGGAGAAGAGAAGAATTAAAACTTACCTTTAGGGATTTGATAAAAACCCTAGCCTCCTTCTTCCTTTTTCTCTTCCTTCCTCTTCTTTCTTTCTCTCTCTAAAATATAGTACGTGATATATTTTCTAACCTCTTTCACAACTCTATAGTTATATATTTATAGGCAACTAAAATAACCCTAATCCTTTTCCCATTCCAAGACAAACTAAAATGAAATAAAAATAAAATAAAATAAAATTTAAATACTAAAAAGGTAACTAAATATATGTTACGTATAATCTATGTGTACCCCTTTTTATATATAATATATAAATATATATCAGATTATTATTAAAGGGACTTTCCTTACATATATATATATATATTTATTTATTTATTAAATATACATATACATGGGTAATCATCCGTACCCATTAAACCCCTTATCCAAGTAGTCCATGGAGCCCAATTGATTGGTCAATTATTACTATCCATATCCAATTCCTTAAAAATATAAAAATAAAATAAAAATAAAAATAAAACAATTAAATCACATTCAATTCAATTTAAACAAATAATTAAATCAATTAAACAAGTAAACAATTAGCCAAGAAAACAACTAAATAATTAAATGCAATTAAAACTATTAAAATAATACTGAGACTATCCTTTTTAAATTAGGGGTATTACAGGCTGGTTATAATATTATCAGTGGAATATGTATGGTTGATTAAAAGGGGTCGTCGATTACTGTATTGTCTAATTCACGAACTTGTTACTCCTCTTAAATTCTTCTTCACTCGAACTCGCAATTTCTTTGTTGAAATCAAAACAAACCTATCTATCCATTTTCAACAAAGACCTTCTAACATTTCCTTCACTCGAACTCGTTACAATTGGACCGCCCTATTTACCTGTCACTCCTAACGACTAGGAAGACCTTGTAAAGACTTGAATATAAACTCCACCTAGGCGGGCACTTGGTGTGACACCAGATAAAAAATTTAACCTTAATTTGATATCATTGTAACAAGTTGGACACTCACCCTTTTATCTAAAAACTTAAATTATTGGATAGTGCTGCACATTCTAGGGCAAGTCCTTGCATACCATATGTATTTAGTCTGAGACTATTTATTTAGACACTGGTTTAAAATTTTAATTTTTTTTCTTTTGTGTTAACGGTTATGTTGAGCCTGCATAACAAATTCAAGAAAAGAAAGACAAAATAAATTTGAGATTTTCAAAACAATACATGGATAGTATTTAGATATTAATTGTTCTAATTACACTGCATTGTAGGTGTCAATGGCTAAACAACTTTTGCTTTGTTTTATTACTCATCAATTTCACAAGATTTAGATTTAGATTTAGATTTAGATTTACATAGCTGAAATCGATATATATATATATATATATTAACATAGATGTTCAAATCACAATTTACTGTTGGAATTAGTCTTAAGACAAAAACAAAGAAAAAAAAAATTAAAAGGTGATCGTCAGATTAGGAGGGCTCATCAGGCGTTAGTGTGCCTGCGGATTACCGACCCGTTATCCTTCCACCGACAGGAGCGGGAGGTGCACGCTGCTATGTGAAACCACCCTCACGCAGTACCCTCCAACTGTAGGGGCCCAGAACTCCGGGCCTTCGCCCAAAGTCCGCGGCCCAACTCCTTACTTGGAGCGGACGGGCCAGTGATTTAACCCAGCCAAGCCCTACCATCTGAACCAAACCAACTTCCGATCACCTTTATGCCCTCACTAGAGTTACAAGCCCACGTTACTAGGCCCGGTGACAAGGGCTGCTTTCACAACCACTTATTAAGCAAGAAAAACTTCTTCTTTTGAGCGATGTGGGATGATAAGTTGAGCATTTTGTAAGCTCATTGGTACATGAGAATAGAAAAAAATTGCAGAAACAATACTTTAGTCCTATGAAGCCAGCAAACGCCACAATGTTTTATTAGTTGCAGTATTTAAGCATGCTGTAATGGAACCAAAACTAGGTTCACTTAAGGAAGCAGTAAGTTCCAGAGTTGTTGGTTGTTCTGTCTGAAAGAGAGAGATGATATTAATATAGGAAGACAAAATAATTTGTCAATTAAATGTATAATCCACTTTTGGCAAAATTTAAATCAAAATTCAGAAAAAATAAAATAAAATTACTGCCGTTAAATTGCCAATCGCCAATTCGCCACCAACACTCACGACAAAAGCGTTGTGACTATCCTTCACAGTCTTTGATACCAATCCTAACAAAATACGTTGAAAGACCAGTCATGTTTTCCATTAGAGAATAATTGGCAATATGTTAGAGGGCGATATTAAATATATATAAGCCTCGGCATGCAACAACATACAAGTATTTGTATATTCACGTTGCAACAAACATTCGCATTGTGGTGTAATGTAATGAACATTCAAAATTACAATCACATTGTTTTTGTCCAACGTGTATTTTTTCAACTTATGTTATAGACAAGTTTCATTAATACGAAACACTAATTTTCAAAACTAGTTTCTAACACAAAATTTATAGAGTCTCAATATAGTTAGAATTTTGAAGTGAAGATAATTAATTTTAGTTAAAAATAGACTTCAAGATCTTCCATATAGATGCAAATTTTGCCTAATTTGAATTTAAAACAAGGAAGTTATGGTTTTTCAAAGTTGATTCAGAACTATCGAGTGAACAACACTTTCAATGGACTCATTCATCTTGGAGATCAAACCTATTCAAAAATTGATTTAGTTCTATGATAAATCTACTTCTAAATCTCACTGGTATCACTCAAAAATTCAATGTACAACTTGAGTTTGGACCAAAATAAGACTCGAGTCAAACTTGCATAGCTGAAAAAAAAAAAAAAAAAAAAAAATCAATCAAGTTATAATCCTACTTTTCAATTCTAGGGATTAATAAGTTTATAAAATCTTGTTAGGATAATTAACTCCTACATTAATAAATATTGGGTTAAGTGAAAAATCCCCTTGTAATATAAGTTATATGCAAATAATTACTTGATTTTGTGGTCGTCTTTATTTATGTTTGGTCCACAGACACAAATAATTGATACGGTAAGGACTCATCACATGACTTGTGACAGCCCTTTATTTATGTTTGACTCGACACACACAAAAACTCAATAATTGACTTGTCCTTGGTCTTTGTTAATGTTTAGCAATTCCTACAAGGACATAATTTATGAAACTTGAATATTAATTTATCAAAAATTGTAGTTAACGTACCTCTTTTATCTCCCAGCATACCCAAAATACAAGTGAGGATTCTGTTGTACATATGAATTGGTTCCCAAACGCATAAACTCTCTCTTCCTCTCCCTTGCATTGTCTCCTCAATACACGGATTTGAAAACACTCGCAACACAACATATATACTCGAGTCTCGACACACGTTCATAGTCTCATTTGACTCCAATACGTTTTGAAAAGTTTAAAGCCTTTGCAAAGCCAAATCAAAGGGTTGTCTGTACTTGTTCTCTCTTATGTACCAATCGGTTCGAAATAGTGAAGAAATATCTCTAATTGAACGAAAATGTCCTAACCCATTTCTTTAGAGTTTCAGTTTTCTGTTGCTTGAGCTCGAAATCTCTCTTTTTTCATTTTTTTTTTGGAGGTCTGAACTGATTATTTTTGGCTTTTGGTAGGTCATCTAGGATGTGATGAAATATGTGATTGATTTGTAGTGTTCCGGATGTAAATGGAGATATGGGAAGGAGAGAGAAATGGCAGAAGATAGAGAGATGGGAAGAACGTGAGAGAAGAAATTGGGGATAACGGGCCTAATAATAAGGGCATTTTAATCCATTATTTTTATTTTTATTTTATTTTTGTCATTTCATTACAAAACTAAGACTATTATTGTATTTTCATGCAGGGAAAGGGTAACATGGTCATTTTATAAAATTCTTTTAACATTTTTGACCAATAGAAAGCAACACGGTTCTGTTGAGCACACATGTCAATTCTCAAGAGAAGTCAAAGTAACAAACTTTAAACGCTCCACCCATTTGTAGTTTGACATAATTGGGAGATCTATGTAATTCATCCTAAAAGATAATAAAGGCACACTATACATGCAAATATATGATGGTAAAAAGAGGTGGTTAAATGTTTTGGGGACTGGAATAAGGGTTAGGATTGAAAACCCCAGTTGCGGGGCGGGGATGGGGAAAGGTCAAAATATTATTTGGTACAATAAAATTAAGTCTCAAATTCCAATTGAGAAATTGAATCTTGTTCTTATCCGTATGAGAGGAAATGAATTGTTACATACCAAATTCGTAATACAATTGCAAAAGTAATCAACTAAACTCGGCCCCATCCTCGCCCCAACCCCATTTAATAAATAGTTTTAGACAGGGAATGGGGGAGCTATGCTAAAATAGGGATGGGGTTGGGGTCCCCCGTCCCAAACCATCCCGTAGCCATCCCTTTCTATGTACATGAGTCTGTATGATATATCGTATGTGAATTCATTTTTGAAATATATTAAATAAATCATGATTACATGTTGATTTTCAATTCAGATTGTAAATATTATTTAAATTTGTGTATAACAGCTGTTGAGATGTTAATTAAATAGCAGTATGGTGTCATGTTTGCGTGAAGGGTTTGGTCGTGTTTGGAAAAGTTTTATTATAGACTCTTTAGTTATGTACGGTTGCTCAGATTGTTAAATGTCGAGTGTGGTAATTGATGCTTTTGTTTTGGTCATCTAATTATTTTAGTTTGGTAGTCCAGATAGGACAAAGTTTCTCCAATATATGCTGTGGCAGTATCAACATTTCAAAAATGCTTTCCATGTGCTATTACTTCAAACAAATATCTTCTTGTGTTTTCTTGACATTGCAGTCATAACTCATAGTACCTATTATTTTTTATTTTTTTTTTTTTATTTTTTTTTTTTTTTGGGTATAATATGATCTTTGAGAGTAAATTGAAAAGGTATAACTGATGTGTTGGCTTGAGATCGAACTGTTCTCCTCTCTTATTAGTGAAAAACAGAGGATTGAATCATTACGAGGCAAGATTATTATCTGTAGTAACTGTAAATATTCCGAAGCGAGATTATTGTGGGAGTTTTTTGGCCCGGCCCCCTCTTCTATAAATATTAACTGTATACTATATCATTAATCAATGAGAAGACTGATTTTTATTTTTTTATAATAGGTTTTTACTCAGTATTCAAGTGTCATTTTATTTCAATATTCTTAATGGTATGTATGGTTGGTTACTAAGGGTTAGCGGATTTTTGTCCTTAAACAAAATCGCAAAAGGTGGAAGCCTACTTGTGTCAGCATCAACTATGTATATATTGTTTATTTTGCATTTTCTATACTTACAATTTTCAAAACGTTTTTATGCAATTAGTAAGCATTTAAATAAGTGTATCATCTTGAGTCCAACATACTTGTTAGACTGACCCTCGTGGGGTTGTGCATACTCCCATCATTTTCAAGTAATAATTGACTCTAATATCATCCGAGTCCAATAAAGGGTGACTGTAAGGTGTCGCATTACTTTTGGATCACATTACTTTGTGGAAGTGGACGTAGTGTTGGCTGGGGACATGTCTATTAGCCAAGCACACAACATTGGTGAGACACTGCAGGAGAAGATTGAGCAGATGCCTGAAGTGGAAACAGCTTTGGTTCATGTAGACTTTGAGTGCACACACAAGCCAGAACACATGCAGAAGAATTTGCCTAATAAGAACAGATGATTATATGGAGAATGTTGATTTTAAGTTAAATCTTATTTGGAGAATGTTGTTTTGAAAACTGCTATATTAATCAATGAGAACACCAATTTTTTTTCCCCGTCTTTGCTCTTTATATAGAAGTCATTTTATTTCATTATGTATGGCTGGTCATAATATTATCAATGAAATACATATGGTTGGTTATAAGGGGAAGCTGCTCACTGTATTGTCTAGTCTGCGAACTTGCCCCCTCTGGCATTCTTCTTTACTCGAATTTGCAACGCTTTCGTTGGAATTGAAACAAAACTGTCTATTCGTTTTCGACAAAGACCTTTTAACATTCTTCCTCACTCGAACTTGCAATGCTCTCGTTACAATTGGACCACCCTATTTGCCTGTCTCTCCTAACGATTGGGAGGACCTTGTAAGGACTTGAACATGAATTCCATCTAGGCGAGCGCTTGGTGTGACTCCAGATAAAAAATTCAACCGATACCATTGTAACAAGTTGGACACTTACCTCTTGACCCAAAACTCAAAAACTTAAATTATTAAGTAGTGCTGCACATTATAAGACAAGCCTTCTATGTCATATGCAATTTGTCTGAGACCATTTGTATAGACACTGGCTTAAATTTTTAATTTTTTTTCTTCCGTATTCATCGTTATGGTGAGCCTGCATAGGCTGCATAGCAAATTCAAGAAAAGAAAGACAATAAATTTGAGGTTTTCAAAACAATACATGTATAGTATTTAGATATTTTATTAATTATTCTAACCACATTGCATTGGAGGTGTCAATGGCTAAACAATCTTTTGCTTTGTTTGATTACTCATCAATTTCTTAGATTAACATAGCTGAAATCGAGATATATATATATATATATAAAAATAAAAATAAAAAGGTGACGGTCAGATTAGGAGGGTTCATCAGTCGTTAAGGGGCCTGCGGATTACCGGCCCGTTATCCTTCCACCGACAGGAGCGGGAGGTGCACGCTGCTCTGTTAAACCAGCCTCACGCAGTACCCTCCAACTATAGGGGCCCAGAACTCCGGGCCTTCGCCCAAAGTCCTCGGCCCAACTCCTTACTTGGAGCGGGCGGGCCAGTGAGTTAACCCAGCCAAGCCCAACCATCTGAACCAAACCAACATCCGATCACCTTTATGCCCTCACTAGAGTTACAAGCCCACGTTACCAGGCCCGGTGGCTTGAGCTGCTTTCACAACCAGTTATTAATCAAGAAAAACTTCTTGTTGTGAGCGATGTGGGATGATAAGTTCAGCATTTTGCAGGCTCAGTGGTACATGAGAATAGAAAAATATTGCAGAAACAATACTTGAGTCTTATGAAGCCAGCAAACGCCACAATGTTTTATTAGTTGCAGTATTTAAGCATGCTGTAATGGAACCAAAACTAGGTTCACTTAAGGAAGCAGTAAGTTCCAGAGTTGTTGGTTGTTCTGTCTGATAGAGAGAAATGATATTAATATAGGAAGACGAAATAATTTGTCAATTAAATTTATAATCCACTTTTGGCAAAATTTAAATCAAAATTCAGAAAAAAAAAAAAAAAAAAAAAAAAAAAAAAAAAAAAAGAGCTTAGATATAGATAGAGGAAAAACTCACTTACTCCGGAAGGAAGCAGTAAACTATAAAGGAAGTTCAGAGAAATGATATTAATATAGGAAGAGAGGGAGAGAGCAGAGAGATGATATTAGGGATTCAGTGATCGATAGTGGTAGTGGTCTTGATGCTATAGTTCTTATATATACATAGAGATAGTTTCTCTCTCTCTATATATATAAAAAAGTTTAGAACTTCTCAACCAAACTAATTGGTTTCCAACAATATGGTTTCCTTATCTCTTGTATGTTCCTTACGTCCCAAAATTGATGTTCACTTTGAAAAAAGTGACGCAACAATATTTTCTCGTTGCCTACAAAAGAAATAAAAATAAAATAAAATAAAATCAAGAAAACATGCAAACACGGTTATTTTTTGTCTTGTCATTTCATTTGTTAGCTCATTATTTTTTCTGATAGCATAATTTGTTTATATGTTTTAATTATTATCATCTTGGTCATCAACATTAAAGTCATTAGTTGTGTTTTCTCTCTTACATATCCCCTTCGTCTCAAAACAGGGAATTTTTTTTTTGACATGAAGACCGAAAAGTTGTCCATCATCCCAAGACACAACATGTAGGTGTTGCTATTATTAGATGCAATCGTTATTGGTGCAACGGATGCATGAGAGACGTTGGATCATCACTATAGTGGTAGGCCCTACTTGATCCAACAACTCCCATGCATCTGTCGAGTCGTTGGATCATTACTGTAATGGTATGCCCTACTTGATTCAATGGCTCTCGTGCATCCGTTGTAACAATAATGGTTGCAACTAATAATTTCTCAAAAATGTTTAGTACCATGTGGGACAAATCATGATATATTATTATTCTAATGAAAAGCAAAAAAATAAAATAAAATGTTTAGTACTTTTTTTTTTTTTTCCCTTCCTGATACATAAAAATGTTTAGTACTTGGTGGAACGAAATATGACATAGACTGTAGCCTAGCTTTAAAACAAAATTTAAGTTCCCTACATGTGCAACAACCTCTTACCAAAATGTGTGACCATAACTTCCTCCTTTTTCATGACGCATTCCTTCACAAAATCCGTTCATTAAGTTGTCCTCCAAATGATCGATATTTCTTTCCTTTCTCCATGTGAGAATTACTCCATTTGGTTCACCTTAGCCGCGTGGGTACATATTGTAACAGTCATCTTAGACTTTGTGTGAAAACCATATCTTAGAGATCTCTCAAGAATCCCTTCTTGACTACCTCACACTTCAAAATGTTGGAAAATTTATATCTTCTCGTGTAATATTTAAGATATAACAAATCTTATACTAATATGCCATGAGATAATTAATAATATGCTAAGAAATAATTAAATTCAATATTTAATTAAACATGCAAAACAATGTAATAAAATTAATAATAATAAAATAAAGAATCTGGACCGAAGCTAGTAATTAATACTATGTCCTGGAGACAATTTACGCCCTGTGTGGTGCTAACGGTCTCCATGGCGCTTGTCTCCCAATAAGAACACTTCAAACTCGTAGATACGACAAATCTCCTCTGCGTAATATTCTATTCGACTAAAAAATACTTCTATATTGTAGAAAACATGAATTGGGTTTGATCCAAACCATTTGGTTTAGACCAATTGCACGGATGGAGAGAGAATTTTTGTTCAGGGGGCGCGTTGTACACTAAATACATATAAATTAATATTTATGGAGTATATATACATAAAGAGAAATGAGTGGATAAATATAGATAGATATTGATATTTTTGGAATGAGGTAAATTAATAAATTATATATATAGAATATAATGAAATAATTTAAGAATTTTTTTTTAAGAAAACATATAGAGTATACAAGGGAAGGAAAAATTTGAGGGGGGGGGGGGGGGGTGGGGGGGGTATGAGATATTTGGTCTAGTGGTTTGAACCACTTAACCTTTATAATTTGAACCCACTTGGGTTGAGTTTAAGTCTAAAGAAGGAGAGAAGATATCATTGAATTGAATGCCTTGCAAATGACATCCAAGGTGGATATTTATAAAGGAAATGGTGACTCTTCGTGTTAGGTCAAGTCGGTTCAGCCATACTAAAATAATTTCCCCTAACTACCAATTGCTGTTACATTGCCAATCGCCACCAACAGTCACGACAAAAGCCTTGTGACTATCCGTCACAGTCTCTAACACCAATCCTAACAAAATACATTAAAAGACCAATCGTGTTTCCCATTAGAGAATAATTGACAGAATTGAAAGCCTTGCAAATGACATCCAAGGTGGATATTTATAAAGGAAATGGTGACTCTTCGTGTTAGGTCAAGTCGGTTCAGCCATGGGCGTGCATCCATTCATATTATAACTAAAATAATTTCCCCTAACTACCAATTGCTGTTACATTGCCAATCGCCACCAACAGTCACGACAAAAGCCTTGTGAGTATAATTTGAACCACTTGGGTTGAGTTTAAGTCTAAAGAAGGAGAGAAGATATCATTGAATTGAATGCCTTGCAAATGACATCCAAGGTGGATATTTATAAAGGAAATGGTGACTCTTCGTGTTAGGTCAAGTCAGTTCAGCCATACTAAAATAATTTCCCCTAACTACCAATTGCTGTTACATTGCCAATCGCCACCAACAGTCACGACAAAAGCCTTGTGACTATCCGTCACAGTCTCTAACACCAATCCTAACAATATACATTAAAAGACTAATCGTGTTTCCCATTAGAGAATAATTGACAGAATTGAAAGCTTTGCAAATGATATCCAAGGTGGATATTTATAAAGGAAATGGTGACTCTTCGTGTTAGGTCAAGTCGGTTCAGCCATGGGCGTGCATCCATTCATATTATAACTAAAATAATTTCCCCTAACTACCAATTGTTGTTACATTGCCAATCGCCACCAACAGTCACGACAAAAGCCTTGTGACTATCCGTCACAGTCTCTAACACCAATCCTAACAAAATACATTAAAAGACCAATCGTGTTTCCCATTAGAGAATAATTGACTATACGTTAGAGGGCGATATTAAATGACCTGAATGATATACAAGGCTCTTCATGCAACAACATAAAACTATTTGTATATTCACGTTGCAACAATTGACATTTACGTTTTAGTGTAATGGATGAACACCCAAAATCACATTCACGTTGTTTGTTTAACGTGGTTATATTTTTCAACTTACGTTGCAGATAAATTTCATTCACACAAAACACTAGTTTTCAGAACTAATTTCCAACACAAAATTTATAGAGTCACAATATAATTAGAATTTTGAAGTGAAGATAATTAATTTTAGTTAAAAATAGACTTCGAGAGCTTCCATTTAGATGCAAATTTTGCCCAATTTGAATTTAAAACAAGGAAGTTATAGTTTTTCAAAGTTGATTCAGAACTACCAAGTGAACAACACTTTCAATATTCATCTTGGAGATCAAAGCTATTCAAAAATTGATTTATTTCTATGATAAGTATACTTCTAAATCTCACTGGTATCACTCAAAAATTCAATGTACAACTTGAGTTTGGACCAAAATAAGACTCGTGTCAGACTTGCACACCTGAAAAAAAAATAAAAAATAAAATAAAATAAAATTACTGACATAATTCGTTCAATTTAAATCTAATTCAAGTCCATTTTATGTCAAAATAAAGATAATACATAGATATCCAACCATATAGTTTTCAGAATTTAATTCAAAAGTGGACTATTTTGCAATAATTTTTCCCAAAGCACAAGTTCAAGGCCCTTACTTTACAAATTTTCATCTCCATTGCATTAAATATAAACCATTCAAATATATCCAAAATATTAACATAGTTTTCCATGCACCTTTCTACTGGTAGCACTTTTTACCTTGAATACTCAGCAATGTCTTTCATCCTCAGACAGATGGCCAGTCGGATGGCCAGTCGGAACGCATCATATAGATTTTGTACAATATGCTACGGGTGATTTATAAAATTGAGAGAAATTTAATTTTGAACTGGACTTATGTGCAGAGTGAATGAGTCGCGTTTGCAAGTTTTTGATGTACACAAGTTCTAGAATTAGGGCTTAATTACTCTTCACTTGAGGTAGGAATTTCACCGGTTATATTAACTCATGATATGTTTCAAGCATTTATATATGTTGAACCCATTAAATCATGTTTTGGTGTGTGTTGTTAAAAAAAAAAAAAAAAATGTTTTGGTGTGTGAACCATGTGTAATGTGTTGATATGGGATGGTTTACTTGGCTATGTTTATTTGAATGACATAATGTGCTGTGGAAATGAAGTGGATTAAACCCATGGCAATTAAGATGGGGGAAATTTTATATTGGAAAATGTGATTTTGTATAATGTCTCTGAAGTGTTTGAAAAAATGCTTGAATGAATACTTATCTCATATGGTAACTTCTTGTCATGAAATTAATCTCTCCAATGTTGAATATGTATGTACTGTGAAATGAGAATGATGATGATATTGATTTTCAGAGGGTAGAACATAATTGGAAGAATAAATTGTGCGTGTATTGTGAAATGAGAATCACGACTTCCACCCTGTTGTGATAGGTGTCACTGCTGTAATCCTGTGATTTGATGCAAGTGTGACTTTGTTGAGTGTGATATAAAGTATGTTGAACTATTATTGTTTATACCAACCTTTTCTTTTTTTGTATTAGCAACTATCACTGCTACCACGAGAATTAGCATCGTTTGAATATATTTTGCAGCGTGCCTGTTTGCGAAATTTTTTTTTTTGTGTCTGTTGTATCGTGCAACAGACGTATCCAACTGTTTATACAAGACGTGTGTAATACGAACCGTTCAAATGCGCCTATTGTATAGTGCAACGGGCGCAACAAAGTTTTTCTCCTTGTTTGCTCCTATAGATTATTGGTTAAAATCGCTACTAAAGATATGTGAATATAGCGCCGCTAAAAATACTTAATTACGCCAACAAGGCAGTTACTTTTAACTGCCACCTTATTCTTATTTTGTTGTAGTGAGTATAACAAAGAGTATTAAATATCCGCAGGTATGTTGTACTGAGTACAACAAAGAGTATTAAATATCCGAAGGTATGATACCCGGGCAGTGGTAATGAATTCCACCACATCTAAAGAATGGGATCACCTCGAAAGGAGACTAGGAGAGTGATATTTCCCAAAGAAGGGAGGGAAATGTTTACCTTGTCTAGAATGTAAGAATAACTTACCCTAAAAGTACAGGTCATTACCTCTATTGCTCTCAGTTGTACAAATAGAAAGAGAGGAAAAGATCAGGAGAACAAGTGAAATTCAAGAGTGGGTTGGTGGATGACTCTGTAGTACAGTACTATTTTAACCTTCGATTAAAGTCCATAGGACTGCCACCCCCACATTAGCATTGGACTTGTATACATCATTGCAATCCTACTTCCACATATATATATATATATATATATATATATATCTTGTCGGCATCATCATCATCGATGTTTTGAATTCGAATTCGTCTCATCAAATCAACACGCTAATTGGATAGTAATGTTGGACGCGGAATAGCAACTTTTTGGAAATCGATTATGATATTAAGGTAATTATATATAAGAAATCCTTAAACTTGACGATTAGAAGTAAAGGTCAAGGTACTACTATAACAACTAATAATTGAGATAAAACTCAAAAGAGAAAATTTATGAGTACATTTAATTTGCTTTTTAGAAGACAATTTTTTGTTGTTCGAAAATTGTATAAAAACTTTCTTTGTTTAATTTTTGAAAAATTAAGTTATAAAAAAGTTTACTTTTAAATAATTATTTTTTATAATTGTCTGAAGAGAGTTTTAGGGCCGGTTTGGTTTGTAATTTTGAAAAAAATTCTCAAGAATTAAGAAAATATAAAACTATTTTCAAATAATTATAAAAAATAATTATTTGAAAATATGTTCTTTTCATAACTGCGTTTTTAGAAAATTAAAGAAAATAAAATTTTTTATACAAAAAAAATAAAAATAAAATAATTGCTCTTCGAGTTACAAATTAAGTAAAATTCTGTTTTTGTAAATTGTTGAAACTTAGTTTTCAAACGACCTTTGTACCATTACTTGTGTGCGCGCGCGCGCGCGTGCCATATGTCATTCTCTAAATATATTTTGGTAATTGGTATGATTGAGTTCCAAGTGCAAGCAAGCATGCCACTAGGTAAGGTCACCAAGGCTAGCAAAGTTGACAGCTAAATGCCATTTGGAATATTGACGACAAAGCCCACTATAGAAGTTTTGACTTTTGACACAATAATTTGGGTTGGTGAGTTAGTGGGGGTGTTTGTGGCCTTCGTTTCTTAGGTGATTTGCATACAAGTACGTTGTCCAATTGGGGTTGGTTAGCACCAACACATCATCAGACGCGTGTGCTTTCCGTACCTCTTTTCATTTCATACATGGCTTATAGATATGGAGATTGACGTAACGCTAATACTCCCTCTATTTCAAATTAAATTAGATATAATTTTTAATAGTGAGTCACAAATATCAAAAGCGATATCTAATTTTGAGTCACAAATATCATAGGCGACATTTAATTCAAGACGGGATATTAGATGAAATGTGAAGGGAAATGATTCCATCAAACATAGAGGCACCAAATTTCCATGATATTTATCATACTAAGTACTATAATTTTCAAGTTTAAACCATGAATTTAATCATATAACAAATTTTCTTCAATTCTTAAAAAATAAAATAAAATTTGCTAAAAATGGATTCATTTTCAGTTTAAAGGCCTAAAAAGGATAACCAATCCGAATATGGAGTGTGCATGTGAGTGTGTTCGAGCGAATTTTTATTAATTGGTCAATTACAATAATTGTACTCATCAAATCAAGATTGCCAATAAACCCTTAACCTACGACTGATCGTTGGAGTTATATTTTTATATAAGCTTAATATTAGTAAAAATCAATAGATTGAAATCATTATTATACTTTGGTAAATTTTTTTAATCTCAAAACTGTATAGTTTTTAAACTTTTTTTAAATTAGTTGACGTGATTTAACACCAACAGTAGATAAATTTTAAATGTCACGTGTCAATCTGTAACGAATTCAACTTAGGATAACTTAGAGAATATTTAATTTAGAGAATCCAAGTCCTTAAAACAGATGTCCAAAAACAAAAGTTGGGTTTAAGTTGTGTATTGCCCAATTATTCCGGTTTAACCCATTGTTGTGAGATTTTTTTTATTTTTTTTTATTTTTCTCTCTCTATCATTTTTCTCTCTCCAAGAAAGACCATCAACGCCGGTTCTGTTCAACACTACCGCGCCATTGCCAACCATCTTTGCTCACCACTTCATCACTGGTTCATACCACCGTCCGTTAGTCAGTCTTCTATAACAAAATTTTAGTTCAAAAGACAAAGACATGTGTTAAATAATTCAGATTGCATTGAATTTTGGGCTAGGGTTCGATTATGGGGATGAATTGATTTTGCTAGATTTAGGGCTAGGGTTTGACTATGGGGATGAATTGGTGGCGGCAACAGTTGTGAGTGGGTATCTACGTATATGTAGATACATGTTTGATAATGAATAATTAATGTAAGGTTGTTGAAATGGGTTGGTAATGGTGAGAGAGGGAAGCAAAGGTTGTGATGGTGTTGTGGAAAAACAGAGAGGCGGGGTCGGTGGTTGTTGTGATGGTGTTGTGCAAAATCCAACCCAATTTGAATTATTGAACCAGCGATGAAGATGTTAGCAAAGATGGTCGACAATGGCAATGCAATGGCGGCGTTGAAAAATGATGGACAAAAAAACAAAAACAAAACAAAAAATAAAAACAAATCTCACAGCAATGAGTTAAACCCGAATTATTAGGCAATACCCAACTTAAACAAAGTATTATTCTTTTTTTTTATATATATCTTTTTTGTCCACGTTCAGACTTGAACCCCGCCCCTCCTATTTAAGAATGGAGAAGTTATACCACTAGACGAAATATCCTTTAATAGAGTTAAGATTAGCTTGATTCTCATGCTTACCTTCCCAACCAAATCGAATTACATGCTCCTTATTATATATCATAAGTAAAATACAGACATAGAAATGCTTTACATTAATTACTCAAATTATAGAGTAAGTACTAAAGTTTTTATCATTTCAATACTGTCTTTTTTCTTTCTTTTTTGGTTGGTTCAAGAAAAAAATTCAATCATAATCAATGGCACCAGAAAGAGGACAAATTCAATGCACAAAGCTTTTATAGTTGCGGAGTCTAAAAAAGGTTAAATGTACTCTGTCTTACCTCCCACATAGAGAGGCAATTTTTTATTTTTGAATCCTAAAAATTCTCATCACTTGATCCGGAGAAATCTGAGACATTTGAGAGAGAAGAATAGCTAACACCTTACGGTTGTGCCGAGGTTCAACCTCAATGTCACCACAGGGCACAGACTTACCATCAAACTTGGTGCATGGATTTAATGCACTCATAAGTGTGAATACATGAACAAAATGGGACTGGCATCGAATTGGCCTTAAGTTTATTAAAGTCCTCAAAGTCAAAAGTGGGAGCTAGCAAATTAGTGTGTTTGCTGTATTGAGAATTTGCATGAAGATCATGCCACCACTACCACTATGAACTATCACTACCACCACCCCCACATCACCAACACCACTAATATTAATTAATCCAAATTATCCAACTCAACACATTCATCACATTTCATTTCAAAATATACCAAGTGATCGATGAGTGAAGCTGCTAGAATTTTAATGTCATTATCAATAAGAAACTTCTAGGAAAAGTGTAAACTTTACAATGCCTATATATAGTGACTCCCACCGCATGTTTTTTACTCACAAGTGCTAGTGATATATTAATATATACACATATACAAGTAGAGAGAACTGTATTGGTGTTTTGGAAGTTTTGATCGAGATGGCAAGTTCTAAGGTGATTGGCGTTGCATTCTTAGTTTTGTTCTTTGTGGAGCTGTCCTTCGCCGCTAGATTGCCCAAGGCGAGCAATGGTGGTGGTGGTGGTGGGGAAGGAGGAGGAGGTGGTGGTGGTGGTGCGTCAGGTTCGGGGTATGGTTCGGGGTATGGCTCTGGGTATGGCTCAGGGTATGGTGGTTCCAAGGGAGGAGCTGGAGGTGGAGGTGAGGGTGGAGGTGGAGGCGGTGGCGGTGGGTCCGCTTCTGGTGGGGGTTCTGGTTCTGGGTATGGGTCAGGAAGTGGATCTGGCTATGGGTCTGGTGGTGGAAATGGCGGAGGTGGCGGTGGTGGGAGAGGCGGAGGAGGCGGTGGTGGCGGCGGCTCAGGTTCCGGAAGGGGAAGTGGTTCCGGGTATGGGAGTGGGAGTGGCTCTGGATACGGAAGTGGTAGTGGACGTGGAGGAGGTGGTGGTGGCGGTGGAGGAGGAGGTGGTGGCGGTGGAGGAGGTGGTTCTGGCTATGGTCCTGGTAGCGGCTCTGGTTATGGGTCGGGCTCCGGGTCTGGATATGGCAGCGGAGAAGGAGACTACGAACCATGAACTCATTTATCCTCTTATAAGCGGCATTCAATCTTTTTAGCATTTGTAGTTTCGAAATAAATTACAACGGACCCTCTAGTGCACAGGAGAGTACCCAGGTCCGTAATGATCAATGTTACATTACATATGTATACAAAAAAAAAAAAAAAAAAAAACTATATATACATGCATGTGTGTGATGTATGTTTTGAGATTATGTTATATATTGTATTTTAAATAATGATAATAAAACATCATTTTTATATGAGTATTGCCAAACCTTGCTCTATATATACTCGTGTGCGTATAGAGAGACACCGTTTTCATTGGCTGCTCAGTGCTGCATTGATAAGTGTATATATATATATATATAGCCTGCTCAGTGCTGCTTTGATATATATATATATATATATAGAGGCTGCTCAGTGCTGCATTGATTTAAGACCACTCAGTCCACAATTATTTAGGATTTTAATAGACAACATAGATCAGTCAATGACACATCCACTAGAGGAGCTTCTAAGTGGACATTTGATTCTAAAGTAAATGTTTCCTATTCTCGAAGAATGAGAGGGTCGAGCACGTGAATCAAGTGCAATGGTGAGTGGGTAGGAATAAATAGGTACCAGATCACTGAGTGCAATTTAAATCGTGTACGTAAATTCATGCAATAATAATGAAGACACTCGATCGAAGATATATCATTTATTTTGAGAACGCCACAACATAAAACATATTACCTAGAGATGTCAAAACGTGTACAGGAGAACATCATGATCAAACAAGAAGATACGAGTCACCTTTTTTTTCGCATCCGACCTTGCATTTTTTGCATGATTATGATTTTTCATTATCAATAATCTACACTTTTGAAATCAAGTTTGTAAAATATCGAATATAATTGAATACGTTCAAATAATACACAATGCATAAATCCTCCAAAAAAATAAAAAATAAAAAATAAAATAAAAAACAAGAAAAGATGAAAAGTATATATGGTACACATCAAAATGGGGTAATAACAAATTGGGTGACCATTTCTATTCACCCTCTTTCAATTCCTAAATCTCTCGAAGATTTCAATTCCATGTCGAATACTAAAAACAAGAAATCAATTGTTTGTAATAATTAAAAAAAAAAAACTTATTCTCTCACAATTACCATAAGCACTCCAATGTGAAGATAAAAGAACCAGTAAACAACCATTAAAAAACTTCTACATTTGCCAACTGAAGCCCAAATTCAATGCAAACACACCTTTAAACCACCCCATGGCTCTGTCACTATGACAAATAGTCTCCAACACCACCACCTGTTGGGAAACGTGCTAGTTTTAAAAACTTTTCGAGGGATTTTGATTCATAAATCTTGATTTATCACATAGAGACAAGTTTTATGCAAAAATAAAATATGAAGTATCATTCAATTAACAAATTGAATACTTACATCAAAGGTCTGAGTAAATTTTTAAAACTTTCCTCTAAAGTGAATGTTCTCACTTATTGTAAATCCCTTAGCAAGATGCCTTCTACCTGGATCTCCATCTTCTTGGTAATTGTTTTATCTTTAGGAATCACTCATATGTTTCCATGAATGACCTTGGAAAAATAGGCTTGTGGGAGCCTCCATTAGATGAGAACACTAACCTTAATTTTCTAGAGAGAAAAAATATATTCATTTTTCCTTCTACTAAAAATCACCCCTAAAATATACATAGACTATGTATATTTATAGGTAACATAAAGATAAAGAAAAGGAAACAACAAATCATTCTCAATCTCTAATTCACATGTCTCAAATCTAATAGGATTCCAATATCAAGTTGGGCTATGAGTGAGAATCCTTTGGGCTTATTATTTTATTGGCTATAATGAATTAATCATTGACCCGGACCATGGACTCAATTCAATTAATTCATAAATTAATTTCTACTCCACAAAAAGAAATTAATTGAACTCCAATTAAGTAATAAATAACCTCTAAGTCAATATTGCACTTTGACCACTCTATGCATAATTAGTTGTCGGATAAATAAAGCCATCAATCCGACTACTTAATTAATATATTTATTTTGGTACCATTGATTATTTCTGATTCGATCACAATAAAACATTTGTTTGATAAAAAATAATAATTTAAATAAATAAATATATAATAAATCATTTTGTCTAAAAACATACGAAGGCCTTCGAATTTACTTTGTGATCAACCATAATCAATACAAAATAAATACAAGTAGCAATGATGTAAATATTGAAAATATAACCCTCTAACTATTAAATACATAACTACCCAAAGTGTCGGTCTAAGGATCCCAAAGAATCCGCCAAACAAATCAAAGTAATTATTAATTAATAAAAGAGTCTATACTTTTCTCATGCTTAAGAGTCAAATGCCATGATGGTGATAGGGAGCAATTGCATACGACGGCTCTCGCAATATATCTTAACCTAACGCGGATCCAGTTTAAGTCTTAATTAATTATGAGTCCATTTATAATTACCGACTATGAACAATTTATGATTACTATTTATATTCATGTATTAATCGTCATCACATACATATATAAATATCTCTTGTAATCAAGTGGACACTATCAATTTAATAATGAATCGAAACATAATACATTGAATTCACCAATTGTATAAAGCATAAATATTTCAAAAACGTCAGGAACATATGTCACTATAATCCAGATAGGAATTTGCTATGCCAGGGCATATATAAATCCCAACAGCTCCCACTTGCTCTCATAACCAATTCAAATTGCATCTAACTCCAATGTTATCCAGATGACGATCAAAATTATTGATCAATGACACCTTTTGTTAATGGATCAACAAAGTTGTGTTCCAATGCAATGTTCTAGCCACAAGTACATTTTCTTGCCGGACAATATCATGTAGAACATGATACTTCCTCTCAGTGTATCTTGTTCCTCTATGGAACCTTGGGTCATTGGTTTAGACTACTTCTACACTATTGTCGTAATATAGCTCGATAGGCATGCTAGTATACTCCACAACCTCTAAATCAGTGAGATCAAACCAAAAGTCTTCATTTGCCGCCTTTAAGGCTGCAATGAACTTCCCCTGTAGGTTTGAGTCAGCAGTTGAAATCTGCTTAACAATTTACTAACTGATTTCCATTTCATTGAGTGAACATACACTAAGTCACGAACCTCATAGTATCTACTTCTGATTGAAAATCAAAACTAGCATGCCTGACTAGGACCATATCATCACATCCATAAATGAGTATGAGATCATTGGTTCTCCTAAGGTACTTAATGATATTTTTCACAACAGACCAGTTATCAAGTCCAGGATTAGACTGATATCTACTGACTATTCCTACTATGTAGCGGATGTCCTGTTTAGTATAGACCATGGCATATATGAGACTCCCATATACCAAAGCATATAGTTCCAGTCTCATTTGCTCAATCTCTTCTGTCAATCTTGTAAAACTACTTAATAGAGAGAGCAATCCATATCAATAAAGAAAGAACTCATTCTTTGAGTTTTACTTACCAAACTTGGTCAAAACTTTATCAATGTAGGATTATTAAGATAAGCCTATTTTCCTTTTAACCTGATCTTGCAAAATCTTGATCCTAGGAATATAGCTTATATCTTGAAGATCCTTCATTTCAAAATAATTGAACAACTACCTCTTTATTGATAACAAAACTTTCACATCATTTTAAATGAGTAGGATGTCATCAATATATAGAATTAGGAAAAATAATGACATTCCCTTATATACTCATGATTTAATTACTAAGAAATCCTCTGGTATTCTTTTGTAGATTAACTTGCCTTCCATAGGTTACTAGAAAGTTCTACAAGATTTCAGATTTTATTAAAATACATAGATTCCAACTCTGATTTCATAGCAACTCGCCAAAACGATCTGTATCCATATCGGTTCACGCTTCCGTATAGCTTACTGGGTCCAACTCATGTTTAACAGGGATGTCCATAACGGTCTCACATAAAAACATGATTCTGTCGGATTGGATGATAATCCTCCCACTATATCAATGTACCGATGCAGGAATCTGTGTACTAGATGATGCTGACGCATCAATAGTGAGGAGGCCCTGGATGACATGGGCCAGGTCCGACTCGCGAAACACAACCTTCAGTCCGAACAGCTGGGTCAGCCCATAAAAAGACACTGCCATATGGGCCGAGCGGGAGCAAGCCCATTAAGAGTGACCAGGGCTTACTGAGGCCCAGGCCCAGGTCCAGCAATTAGTAAATATCTTGTAAATATCTTGTAAATATCTGGTAAGTATCTATAAATAGGAGTTGGAATGAAGAGGAGGAGGATCTTGATTCGGGTTGAGGTGTAAGAATTCTAGAGAGAGAAAGAATAGAAGGAGTTTCTTGCATCTTCAATTGGCGCCGTCTGTGGGAAACGCAAAAAAGTTTGGTTGATCAATGAGGAGTATCGAATGGATTCAAACCAATTCGGTTGATCGAGACTCGATCTTGCGGATTTGAATCCAGATCTGAGCGATTGTGACCTACTCTGGAGGAATTACGATTCTTGAAGCTTTGGCAGGAGTGACTTCAGATCTACGCAACCGCGAGTTGCTCGATTGTGACAGGATTTGACGGATTTAGAGTCCAGGCAATTCAGATCTTGTAAACAGTGAGCATAATTCGGAGAATTAGAAGCCAGATCTAAAAATTCCTACTCACGAAGCTTAGATCTACTCGCGAACTTGAGATTAATGCCTTTACTCCGTTCGGGAATAATGATAGGTGAAAGCTCCAATCCGATGGAGGCTGTCCAGCAAACAAAGCTTGAAGAGTTGATGAATTTGATTGAAGCTCTCAGAAAAGAAAATGCAGAATTGAAAGCTGGATTGCAGCATCGGCAGATACCCGCAGTCTCGCATCCGCTTCCGGTCGGAGAAGGAGGTGTTCCATCTAGTATCGCGCATCAAGGCGATCAGAACGAGAACAATCAGTCAGCTCACCACCGTGATGAAAGGATGATGGACAATTCGCCGCCAAATGTTCGTCGAGTTGAAGATCACGAAGGCTCGACTCACGTTGATCCGCAGCGGGAAAGGCTTGACCGAGAGGAAGTGATGGAGGTAGATCGCCGTCGAGTAGCGTCGCCTTGGCAGAGAGAGTTCATAGAGGAACGGTCGTTCGATCCGTCTTACCGGCCCTCCATGGTTACTGTCACTCATCACGGTTCGGAGGGCAGAACCGTAACTCACAGAGCTACCGCCGGACTCCAGAGAGAGAA